TGAGAAACTGCAAGTTGCTTCTGGTGTGAGAGAATAGGCCGTCTGCAAGGACGTTGCCCAGGGGATGCAGATTCTTCTTATTCTCTCCTTTTTTTTCTTCCAAAATCCTATAAAGGAGGAGTATTTACCATTGCTCTATACCTGGCAAAGCATACCACAGTCTCTCCAGACTTCTTTCCCTCAAGACATTTGAGCGCTCATCAGCCTTCTGTTCAGCCTGCATGGGAAATGATGGAGGATAAGACTTTGGAGACCAGCTTTCAAATCCCTGCTCAGCTATGAAATCCACTGAGTGACCTAGGCAAGTCACTCTCTTAGGCTTTACCTACACTGCCAAATGATGTAGTTTCACAATGCAGTTTGACTACATTATATGGGACTCTAATTTCAGAGGAAGGCCATGGCAAAGCTCTTCTGAGTAAATCTTGGTGAAAAAAACAACTGTGATTAGAAACGATATGAAAGCACATGTCAACAACAGGAGTAGCCTTCCAAAGCGTCTGGTGGGTGCCAAGACTTCAGGAAGGTCAAGACCAGAAACATCAAATATTTTTAACATGTGGAGGTATTCTCTGTTCTTTTCAAGCATATTAAATTATGTATTGTCGAGGGCTTTCATGGCTGGAATTACTGGGTTGTTGTAGGTTTTTCGGGCTATATGGCCATGTTCTAGAAGCATTCTCTCCTGACATTTCGCCTGCATCTGTGGCAAGCATCCTCAGAGGTTGTGACCTCACAACCTCTGAGGATGCTTGCCATAGATGCAGGCGAAACGTCAGAAGAGAATGCTTCTAGAACATGGCCATATAGCCCAAAAAACCTATAACAACCCAGTATTGAATTAATCACAGTAATATCACAATCAGTGCTAGTAATCCACGTTGTTTCTTTTGTGTTTGCTTAGTGAGATCTTTTTCCTTTGCTCCAGTGTTGTATATCTAGTACACATCCCCTCCTTTCTGACCTGCTACTCAGTCCAAACTCACCCTGAATTATCCCAGGCCATCTGAATGGCCTCTTACATTCTGCTTGCGTGCTACCGTAGGTTGGCCTTTCACTGCGAGGCCACAGGAGACTCAGGCCACAGGATCTGACAACACAGCACAGGCATCTGAGGACCAAATTACACTTGACCTTAAGTGCATCTTTCATTGTACATATAGGTTTGTTTGATTTTTAACAGATATAAATAGGACCATATGGAAAAGAACAATCATGGGAGGGTTGGCAAACTATGACACTCCAACAGAATTGTGTGTGTGTGCCTGCTTTGCTTTTAGGACAAATCCTCCATAGGTTCCCATGCCTATAAAATAGTATTTAAAAGGTGAATGCACATCTTGGGAGAGTTTCAGGTAGATTATAAAAATGCTTTGTTGCTGGCAAAATCCATTTCCCCTCACCATTCTGTGCAGATTGCAGATAAACCTCGGGTGAATAGGGGAACCCAAGGAGGTAGATGATCAAATAATCCTGGGGCTTTGACCTCAGAAGCATTTGTTCCACTACACTGGAAATCAAACAGCAGCTTCCAACACGCTTGAGAACAGCAAGGTAATGTAGGACAGATGACCCAACACCCACAGCTTAATCCTTTATCACCTCCCTGCTGTGTCTTCAGCATTGTTGCTTTCGCCTGACTTTGCCTAATGGTTGGACCATTCCTGTCAAAGGTAACTTGATGAATTCTCCATCAAGATTTATACATGTGGAGGCTTCCCAGTTCCATCTGGTGCATGCTGTAGCACTTAGCTGGAAGTGTCATGAGGAAAGAGGCTTATCTCCCTCCCACTAAGATGAGAGGAAACCAGGCATGGGAATCGCATAGCCTTATGACATTACTTGTGAGGCATAGGGACCAACTCAGGCTGTTCAAATCTGGAGTGGTAGACCACTGCACACTTTGCAAGGTGCACTGATGGGAAGTGTGCAGATATACTCTTTCCAAGCTGCCAAGAGGGAACTGTTATTTAACATCTATATCCGACCACTTGCTCAGCTGGCTCGAGGTTTTGGGCTTGAGTGTTATCAGTACGCCGATGACACTCAGCTGGTGCTGAAGATGGAAGGCCGACCGGACTCTGTACCCGATTGTTTCCATCAATGCCTCGAGGCCGTTACTGGATGGTTGCGTGCCAGCAGGTTGAGGGTGAATCCAGCAAAGATGGAGATACTATGGCTGGGTCGACCGGGCAGTGGGGATATCCACCTGCCTACCCTGGATGGCGAGGCACTACGCCCATCATCATTGGTAAAGAGTCTGGGAGTCCTTTTGGACCCTCTGCTGACAATGGAGGCCCAGGTCTCCGCCGTTAGCAGAACCGCCTTTTTTCATCTGTGGCAGGCTAGACGGCTGGCCCCCTACCTGTCCAGGGACGACCTAGCTACGGTGATCCAGGCCACGGTCATCTCAAGACTGGACTACTGTAACGCCCTCTACATTGGCCTTCCTCTGTCGGTGATCCGGAAGCTCAAGTTGGTACAAAATGCAGCTGCTCGGCTTCTTGCGGGAATTCCGATGAGATGCCACATAACCCCAATCTTACTACAGCTGCATTGGTTACCAATTGAGCACTGGATCACTTTCAAAGTGATGGTACTCACCTTTAAGGCCTTGCATGGTCTGGGGCCGATGTATCTGAGGGACCGCCTCACCCCCTACCAACCCCAGAGATCCCTCCATTTTGAGGACCAAGATCTATTGGAAGTCCCCAGTGTCAAGACCTTGTGTCTAACAGCAACCAGATGCAGAGCCTTCACAGCAGTGGCACCATCACTCTGGAATACTCTGCCACCTGAAGTCCGTGCCTTGCGGGACTTACCAGCTTTCCGCAGGGCATGTAAGACATACCTGTTTCGACAGGCTTTTAATGTTTGATAGTGTTGTTTTTAAATTGTTTTAAATTGCTTTTAAATTTTGTTAGATTTTAGCTATTCTTGTAAGCTGCTCCGAGCCCCAGGGGAGTGGCGGCATATAAGTCCAAATAAATAAATAAATAAATAAACATGATTTTTTTTTTTTGCTGAGACATGCATCAATTATATTAGGGATGTATGTGCAGAGTATAGTGGCCTCAGTAGCACAGCAGGTTAAACCCCTAGCTACAAGAAATCTGCTAACCAGAAGGCTGACAGTTCGAAGCTGCAAATCAGGGTGAGCTCCCGACTGTCAGCCCTAGCTTCTGCCAACCTAGCAGTTTGAAAGTATGCAATGCGAGTATATCAATAGGTACTCCCTCAGCTGGAAGGTAAAAGGGCACCCTGTGCAGATATGCAGACATGCTGGCAACATAATCGGAGATGTCCATGGACAACAAGCTCCTCGGCATGGAAAAATGGAAGAACAGCATCGCCTCCAGAAGCTGGAGATGGAAAAAGGGGGAAGGCATTTACTTTTGTCTGTGTTGTATGTCATTGTTCACTGTGTATAAAAGTCATTGAATGTTTGCCTCATATGTGTATTGTAATTTGCTCTGTGTCCCTCTGGGGAGGTAAAGCAAAATATAAATAAAGTGTATTGTTATTACTAAAACTTGGTTTTGAACCAATTATTGCAGTGTTTCTCAACCTGTGGGTCCCCAGATGTTTTGGCTTTCAACACCCAGAAATCCTAACAGCTGGTAAAGTGGTTGAGATTTCTGGGAGTTGTAGGCCAAAACACCTGGGGACCCACAGGTTCAGAACCACTGAATTATATTGTGTTGTTTAATTTTCTGTAGAAATAATTTTCTTGGTGGTAAAAATCAGAAAAGTTCATTAGGTTTGAGCAGGCATGGGCAAACTTCAGCCCTCCAGGTGTTTTGGACTCTAACTCCCACAATTCGTAACAGCCTAAGCTTGCCCATGCTGGGTTTTGAGACCAGTTTAAGTACATACAGGGGCGGCTCAACCCATTACGCAAAGTAAGCATTTGCAGTATAGTTGATTTTGCCCACAGGCGCTCTTGGGGGAAAATAGACCTTGACATATGCGAGTTGTAGTTACTGAGATGTATAGTTCACCTACAATCAAAGAGCATTCTGAACTCCACCAATGATGGAATTGAACCAAATATGGCACACAGAACTCCCACGACGAACAGAATATATATATCAGTGATTGGTTGGGGGGAGGGGTGCCAAAATACTGTTTACTTACCATTGAAAATTACCTAGGGCTGCAGTGTGCATGCTGAGATTGTTGACCGAAAGATTGCAGGTTTGATTCCGGGGAGCGGCATGAGCTTCTGCTGTCAGCCCTAGCTTCTGCCAACCTAGCAGTTCGAAAACATGCAAATGTGAGTAGATCACTAGGTACCGCTCTGGCGGGAAGGTAACGGTGCGCCATGGAGTCATGCCGGCCACATGACCTAGGAGGCGTCTATGGACAATGCCGGCTCTTCGGCTTAGAAATGGAGATGAGCACCACACTCCAGAGTTGGACATGACTGGACTTAATGTCAGGAGAAGAGCTTTACCTTAGGCTGCTAGGAGGAGCCCCTGGTGGTGCAGTGGGTTAAAGTGCTGAGCTGCTGAGATTGTTGACTGAAAGGTCGCAGGTTCGATTCCAGGGAGCGGCATGAGCTTCTGCTGTCAGCCCTAGCTTCTGCCAACCTAGCAGTTCGATAACATCAAATTTGAGTAGATCAATAGATACTCCGGCGGGAACGCAACGGTCCTCCATGGAGTCATGCCAGCCACATGACCTAGGAGGCGTCTATGGACAACCCTGGGTTTTCAGCTTAGAAATGGAGATGAGCACCACACCCTAGAGTTGGTCACGACTAGACTTAATGTCAGGGGGAAACCTTTACCTTTACCTTAGGCTGCTAGGAGGTGGTGGAAAGACCCTAGCACTTGCTTGGTGCCTGACAGAGCTCTTGCTTGGGCCAGGCAAGCTCAGCCTTGGTGAGCCAAACATTGATGTTCCAGCAGGACAGAACCCAAACGCAAGGAGAGTGTGTCCCCCAAGGGAGGGCTGCTTGCTTAAGCGCCTCATCCCCAGCCAGCTCGCTCCCTTTCCCGTCTGTATGTACTGAGGAGGGCAGAGCCAACACTTTTGCCCGAGGTGCCCAGGTAGAGCAGGGAAAGGTGAGCCCATTTGAGGGGCCAGGAGCCGGGGCTGAATTGGTGGCTGGAGCTGTCAGGCTATGACCGAGGAAGAAGGCAGAGGCAGCTGCCAGCAAAGACAAGCTCTATCTGCCACGGCGCAGCAAGAAGCGTGAAAGGAGGAGGAAGGAAGGAGGGAGGGAAGGAGGGAAGGAGGAAGCAAGAGGGAGGGAGAGACTTCTCCGGAGCAGCCTGCCTCTGCCTCTCCCCCCTCCCGGCTCCTGCTGCCTGCGTTTCCTGACACCCAAGGAGCCTCCGCTCGCGACTCCAGGATTATTGCAAGGGCCAAGGCTCCAGATGGCAGGCTGGGGCAGGCAGAGCCATCGGCTTGGTCTGGTGCCTCGCCTCCCCAAGTGAAGCAGAAGGAAAGGGGGAAGGACCCCCAAGTCTCTCCGCCGTCAACTTGAACCGGTAAGGCTGGGATGGGGAGCTTGGGGCGCTCTCTGCACCCCAAGGGGCGCGAGATGCCTGCCTGCCTGCCTTGTGGGGCTTCTGGGCTGTCCGGGGCTGCTGCGTGTTTGTTTATTTCTGGCGCTGCAGACGCGCCAAGGGAGTCTCTCTCTCTCTCTCTCTCTCTCTCTCTCTCTCTCTCTTCCTTCCTGGGGGGAGTCAGTCTGCAGAGCAGAGCCAGGGCTGCAGCGTTTTGGGGGCTATTTTGGGGAGGCATCACACTCCTCACACAGACTCCTTGGGGTCTGCCCTGCTGTCCAAGCAATGCCATGCCCCCCAGTTAGGAAGCCAGCAAGTGCCTTTCCCCTGGGCTGGGTAGATATGACAACAGTCAGAAGGGAGGGGTAGACTTTTTCAAAAGCACCTTGAAGGACCTTGCTGGCCAAGACTGGGCATCTTCTCACCTGGAGAGAGAAGAGCCAAGGAATCTGCAGTTTCTCTCTTCGTGAAAGCATCACAAAACGTAACTTCTCTCATCCCCTCAGTCCCAGAGCTTTCACCTGCTCTGCCTCTAAAGTTTTGCCACTGCTGTCTTGTGGAGGGGTTTCATGGCTGGAATTACTGGGTTGTTGTGAGTTTTCCAGGCTGTCTGGCCATGTTCCAGAAGCATTATCTCCTGACGTTTCACCTGCATCTAAGGCAGGTATGCAACAGACCTCACAACCTCTGAGGATGCCTATCATAGATGTGGGCGAAACATCAGGAGAGAATTGTCAAAGGCTTTCATGGCCAGAATCACTGGGTTGCTGTGAGTTTTCTGGGCTGTATGACTGAGTTCCAGATGCATCCTCTCCTGAGGGTTACTGTGAGTTTTCCAGGCTGTATGGCCATGCTACAGAAGCATTCTATCCTGACGTTTCATCTGCATCTATGGTAAGCATCCTCAGAGGTTGTGAGCTCTGTTGGATACTAGCAAAATTGGGTTTATCTATCTATGGAATAATGTTCTGGGTGGGAGAAAGAACTCTTGTCTGCTTGAGACAGTTGTAAATGTTACAATTGGCCACCTTGATTAGCATTTAATGGCACAGCGGTTTCAAGATCTGTCTTCACACCTGCCTCAAATGGACAAGAGTTCTTTCTCCCACCCTGGACATTTCACAGATACATAATCTCCACTTTCCTAGTTTCCAACAGACCTCACAACCTCTAAGGATGCCTACCATAGATGCAGGTGAAACATCAGGAGAGAATGCTTCTGGAACATGGCCATACAGCTGAAAAAAAACCTAAAACAACCCAGTGATTCTGGCCATGAAAGCCTTCAACAATAACTTGAACTCTTGTCTGTTTGAAGTAGGTGTGGATGTTTCAGTTGGCTACTTTGATTAGCATTTAATGGCCAAGCATTTTAAAAGTCTGGCTTCTTGCTGCCTGGGGAATCTTTTGTTGGGAAATGATTAGCTGGCCCTGATTGTTTCTTGTCTGGGATTCCCATGTTTTTGAGTGTTGTTCTTTATTTATTGTTACAATTGTAGAGTTTTTTGATACTGGTATCCAGTATCAAAAACAAGAATTCCAGACAAGAAAGGGCCAGCTAATCACCTCCCATCAAAGGATTTTCCCCAGGCAGTAAGAAGCCAGACCTTGAAACTGCTAGGACCTTAAACACTAATCAAGGTGGCATATCGAAACATTCCCACCTACCTCAAACAGACAAGAGTTATTTCTCCCACCCTGGACATTCCACAGATAGATAAAACCAATTTTCCTAGTTTCCAGCAGACCTCACAACCTCTGAGGATGCCTGCCATACATGCAGGTGAAACATCAGGAGAGAATGCTTCTGGAACATGGCCATGCAGCCTGGAAAACTCACAACAACCCTTTTGTCGTTGCTGTTTTGGGACAGTTGCTAGCTAGCTGGAAAATCCTCTCTCCTGTTGTTGGTTAAAACCACAGCCTGCCAAGAAGGCTTTTGCAAGTCATTTTCTGAATCAGGATTGGTTATGAGGCAGGAGGGATCTGTTCTGCCAGGAACAATATGGCAATCTCCTTCTGGTGACCATCCCTTGAAGCTTTTGCACAGATGAATGTCTGCGTCAGACAGATGCAGAAGTATCATGGCCTCCTGTTTGTCAAAATTCATCAGGTGTGTACTTGACATCCCTATTTACTAGTGAAACCACCAAAATGCAATGTGTTGTTGAAGGCTTTCATGGCCGGAATCACTGGGTTGCTGTGAGTTTTCCGGCTGTATGGCCATGTTCCAGAAGCATTCTCTCCTGACGTGAATGTTGCAATTGATCATCTTGATTAGCATTTAATGGCCTTGTAGTGTCAATGCTGCCAATTGCAACATTCACACTTGCCTCAAGCAGACAAGAGTTCTTTCTCCCACCCTGGACATTCCTCAGATGTAGAAACCCCACTTTCCTAGTTTCCAACAGACCTCACAACCTCTGAGGATGCCTTTCATAGATGCAGCCGAAATGGCAGGAGAGAATGCTTCTGGAGTATGGCCACACAGCCTGGAAAACTCACAGTAAGCCAGTGATTCTGGCCATGAAAGCCTTCAATAATTCTCTCCTCACGTTTCGCCTGCAGGCATCCTCAGAGGTTGTGAGGTCTGTTCAATACTAGGCAAGTGAGGTTTATATATCTCTAGAATGTCCAGGATGGGAGAAAGAACTCTTGTCTGCCTGAGGCAAGTGTGAATGTTGCAATTGGCCAGCTTGATTATCATTGGATACCCTTGCAGCTTCAAAGCTTGGCTGCTTCCTGCCTAGGCGAATCCTTAGTTGGAAGGTGTTAGCTGGCCCTGATTGTTTCCTGACTGGAATCCCCCATTTTCTGAATGTTATACTTTGTTTACTGTCCTGATTTTGGAGGTTTTTTTTAATACTGGTAGCCAGATTTTGTTCATTTTCATGGTTTCCTCCTTTCTGTTGAATGTTGTCCACATTCTTGTGGATTTCAATGGCTCCTCTGTGTAGTCTGACATGGTGGTTGTTAGAGTAGTTCTGCATTTCTGTGTTCTCAAATAATATGCTGTGTTGGTTCATCAGGTTGGTTCATCTGCTATAGCTGATTTCTCTGGTTGAATTAGTCTGCAGTGCCTTTCATGTTCCTTGATTCAAGTTTGACCAATGTTGTGTTTGGTGGTCACTATGTAGACTTGCCCACAGCTGTATGGGATATGGTAGAGGTGAGAGGATCCTTCTTGTCCTTTGCTGAATGTAGCATTTGTTGGATTTTCTTAATGGGTCTGTGGGCAAAACATCAGGAAAGAATGCTTCTGGAACATGGCCATACAGCCCGGAAAATTCACAGCAGCCCACCAAGAGGCAGTTTATGTGCCACAGTTATGTGTGTTCATCAAGCCAAATTGATCTTTTGTTTATCTGTTGATCTGGCATGCTTTAAATGCGATTTTCCTGCTTCTTGGCAGGGGGTTTAGACTGGATGGCCCACAAGGTCTTTTCTAAATATGATTCTATGATTTGTTGTTGTTATTGTTGTTGTTGTTGTTGTTGTGTGTCTTCAAATCAATTCAGACTTATGGCAACCATAACATGGAATTTTCGTAGCACAATTTGTTCAGATGAGGATTGCAATTGCCTTCTTGTTAAGGGCTTGTCTAGAGACACTTAGCAAATTTCTACGGCTGATGACGGATTTGAGTTAGGAATCTGGGAATCCAAGATCATAGTCCATTGCTCAAATCACTTTGCTATGCCTTTGCTATCAGCATTTTTCCTCATCTTCTCCCCAATTCATGACTTCAAGTCATAGGTAGAATAAAGGTTTCCCCTTGACATTAAGTCTAGTCATGCCCGACTCTGAGGGGTGTTGCTCATCTCCATTTCTAAGTCAAAGGGCCAGCGTTGTCTGTAGATGCCTCCAAGGTCATGTGGCCGGCATGACTGCATGGAGTGCTGTTACCTTCCCGCAAAAGTGATACCTATTGATCTACTGACATTTGCATGTTTTTGAACTGCTAGGTTGGCAGAAGCCGGGGCTAACAGCTGGAGCTCTCTCCGCTCCCCGGATTCAAACCACTGACCTTTATCACCTCCCTGCTGTTTTTTCAGCATTGTTGAAGTTGGGACCGGAGGCTCCCTCAAGTCATAGATGAACCAATTTCTCAGATACTATGATCAATGTGTCTGGAACTGTGGATTGGAAACATCACATAAGCCATGGATGGACAACTGCAGCCTTCCAATGTTTTTAGACTTCTTTGTCAATTGTGTACCTTCAAATTGATTCTGACCTATAGCAACCCAAAGGCGAAGCTACCACTGGGGTTTCTTGACATGAATGGTTCAGAAGGGTGTTGCCTTTGCCTTTTATGAGGTTGGGAGAGTGTGATACCAAGCATCACCAATGACTGAGAGGGAGATTGGAATTATATAACAATAACCACCCTGGTCTCCCATATTCCTAGTTCAATAAAACTGCTTCAGCATGCTTGCCCTCATTTTTGGACTACAATCCCCATCCTGTATGGGACTGATGCAAGTTAAAGGTCAAAAACATCAATAAGATCCCAGCTTTAAGCAGCCACACCACTAATGATGTCATCATGTGTTTGATTCCACCTGCAGCCATTCAATCATCTTCTCTCTGACCAGTTTGCTGGAATCAGTCAAAAACTTCAAGTTATCCCACCTGGGAGCCTACACTATGGAGTTTAAGGCAAAGATTTAATGGCAAGGAATCTGTTGAGAGATTATTTTTTAAAAGGCCCAGGCCAGATTAAAATGAGTCAATCTGATATAACATTGATATAAATATTGAGTCAGTCCATCTAGTCCTGGGGGTTGGGACCCTTGGGGGGGGAATAAGGGGGTGTCAGAGGGGTCACCACAGACCATAAGAAAACACATTTCTTGGTCTTAGGAACCCCTTTGACAGAGAAAGCTGAAGATCTCTCCACCTGGCCTTCTCTTTCTTTTTGGTGTTGGTGAACTATAACTTCCAGAATTCAAAACCAAACCCCCCAACCCCACCAGTAT